ACAATCATGTCCGGAGCCTGGACATCGTCGGGCACCACGAGTAACAAGACCTTTCCTGGGTTTACGCCGTCAAGTATAATATTGGTCTCGACTTCTCCCAAGGCACACACCGACGGGACGATCGTACTCMCGATCCCGTAAAGCGGGCGCACCGAGGGCTTCACGCGTAAGTCACATCGTAGCGCGACACTCGCCTTGACGAGGGAGTGGTGACTACCAGTGTCGAGCAACACTTCTACTTCCCTATCATTCACCAATCCAACTTTTTTATAAGGATGGTTCAACGCCACAGGTCTCACCTCTGCGCAATTCGTCTGATCCTTTTCCGGGCAGTTAGGTCGAATGTGCCCCTCTACTCCGCAACCAAAACACACAGGTTTACGAGTAGCTTTATCAGGACAGTCACGCGACATATGTCCGATTTTCTTGCACACCCAACAACTGGCGGAGTACGTCTCACTGTTCGACCCACTCGTCTCCATGACAGTCTTGTCGAACTTCTTCCATTTATTAGGGCTCGCCTTTTCTTCAATCCGTTTTCTAGGCAGCTGACGGGTAGGCGTTCCTTTAGCGTGCTGCGGAGCAACATACTTCAGCGCGACCGCTGGCGCATGCAACGACGACATGCGCTCCCAGTTGAGCAGATCACCCAGCAACTCCTCTTCGTCAACATGTGTCCGCCCGACGGCATACAGGGCCATTTCCCTTGATCTAAGTCCCCGCAGGACGTAGTCTTTGGACACTCCAAAACTGTGTCCGATACCCCGACACATGCGGAGCTTGGGCTGCATATACGATATGAGGGTCTCGTTAGKCCCTTGCTTTCGCGCACGCATCTCATCTTCGCGGTCGGCCGCACACGCGTCGCGCACAAATACGAGTCGGAACTTCCGTTCTAATTCTCGCCAATCAGAAAAATCACGACCCGCAAACCAATCCTTTGCTGGACCAGTCAGGTGCATACGGACGTATTGCAATACATAATCAAACGGCCATCGATTAAGGGCCGTCATCCCTTTTATCTCTTCTAGCCAATCTTCAGCTTGCAGTGGAGTCTCGTCTCCAGCGAATGTAGTCATTGCGCGGCTCAGGTCAGGAACTACCCTGTACTCCGGACGCATCGTCGGAGTTGCTACAGGAGCGGGCGCAACAGCTGGCTCGGACACATTCGAAGCACTTAATGTCTTCCGCAGCGCTTCTACTTCCGCTCGCAATATCAACGACTGCTCACTCTGCTGCTTGAGCTGCGCGACGAGATTCACCAATTCCACATATGACGGAGCTTCAATACTAGCCGGTTTCGCGGATCTCTCGTCGTTGTTATCAGCCATCCTTATCAGATMGATTCACAACAAAATATTAACAGGATCTTTGATAAGTACGCTATCAGCCATCTGGTTGTCACAGCTAACCAGGTATCACTATCGCGGTATTCCGGTCACGAGCATAGAACACGTTCTTTGTCCGCTGGTCGCGACGAACCAAGCTAACCTCAAACCACCGCGTAATTTCGGCCGGTAGCCAAAAACACGTTATTATTTYCGAATTTCGAAACTACCGTCACGGCGTTACCYTCGAGTTCCCGAATTCTGATCTCAGCACACCGCACACGGAAACGTATTGAAACGGGTAACTTTAACAACAACGGCGTACGGCCACGAAACGCACTACGCACTACGTTCTTTACGGAACAAATCCCACTTCTGATTAATAAGTATGTTAACTTCTCAAATAAACAACGCATATACAGTTAAGGATTGTGACTTGTATATTTAAAAAGAACAACTTATATACATTTACACAAAA